CGGGGAAGCCAGCTGCAAAGACGGAGCCGAGGAGTGGGCTCTCGGCTCAGGGTTGCCATAAACCATGATCTGTGGCACTGTTGGGTCACTACTCTTTGAGCAGGGACCCAACAAGTGCAGATCTGGGGAGACTCCCCTTCCTCCCCCGGGAGGAGTGGCGTGGGAGAGCACTGCAGGAATCTGCTGGGTTTGGAGACTCCAAACGGGGTCAGGTGCCAGAGATAGAAGTGCTTGGTCACAGGCCAGGTGAGCACGGAGTGCAGCCAGAGACCAGGGAGACAGGAGTGATTGACTGCTTTTCTCTGAGGGCTCACTGAGGAGTGGGGCCCTGAGCTCTTGGCTCCTCTGGGGCCAGAGATTGGGAGGCCGCCATTTTCACTCTCGTCCTCAAAAGCTGTATGGAAATCTTGCAGGGAAAGCTACAAAGAGCAAACCCGAGCAGATTACTTAGCCTGGCCCCTGGCAAGAGTGGTGCAATTCTGCCTCAGGCAAAGACATTTGAGAATCAGTGCAACAGGGCCCTCCCCCAGATCAGCAAGAACGTTCAGCCAAGACCAAGTTTACCAATCAATGAGAACTGCCAAGACTCCAGCACACATAGAATTCATGGCTTTTTCCCTGTGATTCTTTAGTCTTTCAAAGTTAATCTTTTAAATTTTCTTTTTCTTTTTCAAATTTTTTTAGTTGAATTTTTCTTCTTTCCTTTTTCAACCAACATCTTATCAATTCCTTTTTAAAATTTGTTTAAGATTTCATTATTATTTGAGAGAGAGGGAGAACACAGAGGGAGAGTGAGAGGGAGAAACAGACTCCCTGCTGAACAGGGAGCCCAATGTGGGACTTGATCCCAGGACTCTGGGATCATGACCTGAGCCGAAGGCAGATGCTTAACCAAATGAGCCACCCAGGCGCCCATCAATTCCTTTTTTAAAATCTTTTTTAATTTTCATCTTTACAGTCATATTCCATCCCTTCATCGTATTTACCCTTATTTTTATATATATGTAAGTTTTTCTTTCTTTAAAATTTTGAAAGGCACTTTCTTCTAACAGACCAAAGTACACTCAAAATCTAGTGTGTGGCTCTGTTCTATTCACTGGCCTGATCATATTAATTTTTCTTTCTTTCTTTTTTTTTTCCCTTTCTTTTCCCCCCAGTTTCGGGTTTCTTCTGATTTGTTTAGTGTATATTTTTCTGGGATCGTTGTTACCCTTTTAGCATTTTGTTCTCTCATTCATCTATTTTCCTCTGGACAAAATGACAAGATGGAAAAACTCACCTCAAAAAAAAGAACAAGAGGCAGTACCGACTGCCAGGGACCTAATCAATACAGACATTAGTAAGATGTCGGAACTAGAGTTCAGAATGACAATTATAAAGATACTAGCTGGGCTTGAAAAAAGCATAGAAGATACTAGATAATCCCTTTCTGGAGAAATAAAAGAACTAAAATCTAGCCAAGTTGAAATCAAAAAGGCTATTAATGAGGTGCAATAAAAAACAGAGGCTCTAACTGCTAAGATAAATGAGGCAGAAGAGAGAACTAGTGATATAGAAGACCAAATGATGGA